TCTTCTGCATTTCTGTAGATTGGCCCTGGGTAATAGCCGGAGTTGCAGAACCAGTTTTGGCTACATGTTATCAAGTCCTATGGGGATGTCTTGTGTCTTTTTTAGAATATGGGAATATTTATCCACTGTTTTGAGAACTGGGTTTTGATACAACAGTAATAATACTATTTTTATATTTTAGTGCACACAGTTCCTTAGTATAAGCATTTTTCCCTTCTGATCATGTAACCTGGGGCTCATCAAAGAAAATATCAAGTTTTTAGATTACCTCCTATGTGGTAGAAACTAAACTGAGAATTGTAGAATCTTGAGTTCATTTTGGCTCATTAACCAAATAACTGTAATAGAAATAATACTTAGTTTCTAGGACCTCAGTTTCCTTAGCTATAAAAGGATTTAGATGAGCCCTTTGAGATCTAAGTTCCTATTTTAATTTTATATCACAAATCTGAATGTGCAAAGGGCAGTAGCAGAATCCATAAAAGTTAAATGATAGCCTTCTGGGAATAAATATTTTTCAACATATATGACACTGTTAACATTAATGAGATTATGAACTGTTAAGAAGAACTTGAGTATCCAGTTGGGAAAATTATTAAAGGACATGAACAGAGAATTAACAAAAGGAAAAAATGAGAATTGTTAATAAACAGAAAAATATTCAACCAGCTTAGGAATCAAAACATGCAAATTAAATCGAGAGTAAGGTGTTTTATCATAGTAGTGAAGATTTTTTTAAAAAATCAATGCTAATAGCCAGTGTGGGTAATGTGGGTAAATTCTTGTATACTTCCAGTGAGAGTGGAAATTGATATTAATCTTTTTGATGGAAAGTCTAAAAATTAAGATGCAAATCTATATTTACTGATATGGAACCATGCCTGTAATATATTATTAAGTGAAAACTGTATGTATAAGCTTGTTGAGGGAGAAGTAAGAATGCTGTCTCCTATACATGTTTACAAATGTGTATGTATACTAAAGAAAACTAGAATGCTAGACTCCAGAATTTTAATAATGATTTTTTTTAAAAAAGATTTATTTATTTATTTTGAGAGAGCGAGAATGAGAGAGAGAGAGTACATGAGTGGGGGAGGGTCAGAGGGAGAAGCAGGCTCCTCGCTGAGCAGGGAGCCCGATGCGGGACTCGATCCCGCAACTCCGGGATCATGACCTGAGCCGAAGGCAGTCGCTTAACCGACTGAGCCACCCAGGCACCCCAATAATGATTATTTCTAATTGGTGGTTTTATGGATGGTTTTTCTGTCTTCCTTATACCTTTGTTTATAGACTAAATTTTTGTAGTATTACTTTTATTAGTTTTAGATTTTCAATAGAAAAATATGTATTGTTAAAAATTGTTTATTTAAGGTTCTACATTGAAAAGTAAGTCTCCTTTTCATCCCAACCTCTCCAGTCTCCTATTTCTCTTCCCCAAGGCTACCACTGTTGCTGATTTATGTGTTCTTCTAGAGACATTCTATGCTGATGAAAACTTTTTTTTTTTTAAGATTTATTTCTTTATTTGAAAGATTGAGAGAGCGCGCACATGTGAGAATGTGCGCCTACAGGCGTGCACGCTTGGGGGGGGGGGTGTGCAGAGGGAGACGGTGGAGCCTGACTCGGGGCTGATCTCAGGACCCGGAGATCATAACCTAAGTGGAATCAAGAGTCAGACCGTCAACTGACTGAGCCACCCCGGTGCCCTGCAGACTTTTTTTTTTTTTTTTTTAAACACAAATGGTAGCATAGCTTACAGGAGTTTTTTAGCCCTTATTTTACAATGCATGTGAGTACTCATAGAGCTGCTTTATTCTGAAACAGAAATAACCTTATACATGCTTATTTATTTATGCATATATGCAAGTATATCACTGAGATAAATTCTTAGAAGTGGAATCACTAGGTCAAAAGAGAAGTACATTTAAAATTGTTCAACATAGTATATGGATGTTAGAATAAAGGAAAATCACAACTGTGTTTCTTTCTTTCACACCCTGTATCCAGTCAATCAACAAATGATGTTGACTCTACTTTCAAAATCTATTCAGTCTGACCACTTCTTACCACCTTCATTTCTGCTACCACTCTTGTTCAAGCCATTTTCTCTCGGCAGGATTATACTTCTGGAACCTCCTACTGGTCTCCCTGTTTCAACTCCTGACTCTTCAACATAGGAGCAAGAGTAATCCTTTCAAAACATGTTACATCAGCCCTCTGCTCCGAGCAAAGGCCAAAGTCCTTACCCCTCCCCTTCTCCCCAACAGTCTCTCTGATCTTGGCGATCACTTTCTTTCTTTCTTTCTTTTTTTTAAGATTTTATTTATTAGAGAGAGAGAGCGCGCGTGTGCACAAGCAGTGGGGGAGAGGGAGAGGGAGAAGCAGGCTCCCCGCTCAACAGAGAGCCCAATGTGGGGCTCCATCCCAGGACCTGGGATCATGACCTGAGCTGAAGGCGGACGCCCAACCGAGCCCCCCGGGCACCCCCACTTTCTTTTTGTTCACACCATGGGAGCTACTCTAGCCTCACTGCTGTATCTTGGCTATATTAGACATGCTTCCGCTTCAGGGCTGTTTGCAGTTGCAGTTCCTTATGCCTGAAATATGAATCACTCCCTTGGTTCCTTTAGATACTTCTCAACTATCATCTTACTGGAGACCACCTTGGGTTTCAAATAATAATCTTCCATCCTCTCCAAAACCTTGCTTTTGCCCTGCTTTTTAAAAATTATATTCCTTTTGCCCTGCTTTTTAAAAATTATATTCCATTGCACTTAACCACCATCTTAATATTGTGCTGACTACTAGCCACTTGTGGCTATTGACCACTTGAAATGCTAGTCTAATCAAGGAATTAAATTTTTAATTATATTTAACTTTAAATCTAAATCTAAAAACTGAGAGTTCAGTTCCTAGAAAACTTTTAAGTATATTTGAACAACTTGGATATGTGAATCTACTTTTTCAACTGTAAATTTTATGAAATCTAAATTCAGATCCAGTATTTCCAGTGAAAATTTAGCATCCAAATTGAGATGCGCTATAAGTGTAAACACACACTAGATTTCAAAGACTTAGTAAGAAAAAGAAATGTAGTAATCTCTTATTGGTTTTTTATATTGGTTACATGCTTAAATTACAGTATTTTAGATATATTGGGCTCAATAAAATATATTATTCAAGGTAGTTTCACCTGTTAACTTCCTACGTTTTTAAATGTAGCTACTAGAAAATTTTATGTATGGATCATGTTATATTGCTGTTGGACAGTGTTGCTCTGTTTACTTATGGAGTTGTTTATTGTGTATCTCTGTACTAGAATGTAAGCTCCGTGGGGGCAGGGGTTTAGTCTCTTCTCATCCATACCCAGTAGGCAGGTATCCAATAAATCTCAGAATAAATGAATAAATTTGAATGAATTCCCCCCTTTTAAAAATAGCTACTGTGAATAAAAATAAAAAGGAAAACAAAATTTATATGCATATCCTAGAATCTATGCAAAAAGTTATTTATATAGAATGCTTATAAATAAATAAGATCCAAATAAAAAAAGGCCAAAGTTATGAACAGACACAAATAGAAATCCAGGTGGGTAATAAATATGTAAACAAAATTACAACTTCATTCAAATTTTCAGTAAGTCCAAATTAGAATAAGCTATCCTTTGTGTAAGAAATTGAGTGAAGATAAAAGAATTATACATACCTCTCTGGAAGATAGCATTGTAGTCTGTATAACTAATCTTAAATTATGAATATTCTTTGACCCACTTTTTCCATATCCAGGAATTTATTCTTAGTTATTTATTTTTAAAAGATGTTATTTATTTAGAGAGAGCTGGGGGAGGGCCAGAGGGAGAGAATCTCAAGCAGGCTCCACTGCCAGCATAGAGCCTGTGCAGGGCTTGATCTCATGACCCTGAGATCATGACCTGAACTGAAATCAAGAGTCAGACGCTTAATCAACTGAGCCACCCAGGCACCCCATATACAATAATTTATTTTTATTGATATAATCAGAGATGTATAAAAAGATTTTTCTAGAACGTTCATTGCAGCTTTGCACAGTTGACCCTTGAACAATGCAGGGTTTAGGGGCACTGACTCCCACACAGATGAAAATCTATATATAACTTTTGATTTCCCAAAAACTTAACTACTAATAGCCTATTGTTTACTGGAAGCCTTTCTGATAATGTAAACAGTGATTAACACATATTTTGTATGTTATATTATCATATACTATATTACAATAAAGTAACATTTTTCTTCAGAAAATGTTATTATGGGGGCACCTGGCTGGCTCAGTTTGGTGGAGCATGGGACTCTTGATCTCAGGGTTGTGGGTTCGAGCCCTACGTTGGGTGTAAAGATTACTTAAAAAGAAAATCTTTAAAAAGAAAAGTAAATGTTATTAAGAACATCATAAGAGATAATACATTTACAGTATTAATGCTGTATTTATAGGAAAGAACTCACTTGTAAGTGACTTGCATAGTTCAAACCCATGTTGTTCAAGGGTCAACTATAATACTAAAATTAAAATCAAACTTAGCATTCAGATTGTTAGAGTAATCCATAAAGGGAGGGTTCAGGATGGGAAAATATTTTCAAGTTCTGGGTTGGTCAAAAAGTCTGTTTAATAAACCAATTTTTATTTTCAGTTAATGTGTTAGGAATAGGAGATTGTATGTTTATTAAATAAAATTTATTTTAAAATATCCTTTTAAAGTAAGTTTTATTTTTAAAATTTCTACTATGCTATTTAGCTATATCTCATAACTCTGTCTTTTGATGGATTTTAGGTTTAAACTAAAATTATTTGTTTAAAATCTTATGATCAGAAAGTAATGACGGATTTATAGTTTTCATTTCTAGTACATTAACCACTGGTCATATAACATCCCAATTTACTCCACAATAAAAATGGGAAGGTATTTTGTGGAAATAATTTTATATAAATGTGTACTTAATGCTTGTTTCATCTTTCTTACCTTTCAGAATTACCATGAAATTATGACTCGTCATCCTGAGAATTATCAGTGGGAAAACTGGAGTCTAGAAAATGTTGCCACCATTTTAGCTCACCGGTTCCCCAGTAGTTATATTTGGGTGATAAAGTGTTCCCGAATGCATTTGCACAAATTCAGCTGCTATGACAATTTTGTGAAAAGTAATATGTTTGGTGCTCCAGAACACAATACTGACTTTGGAGCTTTTAAGCACCTTTATATGTTATTAGTTAATGCTTTTAACTTAAGTCAGAACAGTTTGTTATCAAAGAAGAATGTGAAAGATTTGAATAAGGACTCCAAAGCATCTAATTGTAGATCCAGTTCTTCTCACACTACTAATGGTTGCCAGGGAGAAAAAGAGAGGACCTGTGAAAAATTTGGTGAGTCCACCATGAGTTTTTACCCACCATCACTGAATGGTGCTTCTTTTACTTTGATTGGATTCAGTAAAGGTTGTGTTGTTTTGAATCAATTGCTTTTTGAATTAAAAGAAGCCAAGAAAGACAAGAACATAGATGCTTTTATCAAAAGCATAAGAACAATGTACTGGCTGGATGGCGGTCATTCTGGAGGAAGCAATACTTGGGTTACTTATCCAGAGGTCTTGAAAGAATTTGCACAAACAGGGATTATTGTTCATACCCATGTAACACCTTACCAAGTATGTGATCCAATGAGATCTTGGATTGGAAAGGAGCACAAGAAATTTGTTCAGATTCTTGGAGATTTTGGTATGCAGGTGACTAGCCAAATTCATTTTGCAAAGGAAGCTCCTTCCATAGAGAATCACTTCAGGGTTCATGAAGTATTTTGAGACTACAAGAATATTAATGTACTTGTTCAGTGGAAGAGCAGAAGCACTTTGAGTGTTATAAATTCAGATAATGAGATATAATTCATAGATGCATTGTCAGTTTTGGGGGGGCGGGGGGAGGAAGCACACATTCCTAAAATGAGTGTAATGTGCAATAGTATTCCTTGCTTGTGAATGTGAAGTTTTTACTTTGGATGGGGTTAGAATTAGTTCAGTTGAAAAGTAAAAGATGGTTTGTGATAATCCTACAAGGAGATACAAGACCCTTAAGAATGAAAGTTATGATATAGTCCTTATAAAAGGTAATGAAAATTGTTATTGTTGGAAATAGTTTATTTTCTGAGTATTGTTTGGAACTAATTTTGGTGACACTAACAGTAATTAGCTGTTTGGCACTCGAAACTCCGTTTCTCTTCAAATAAAGCAAAGGCACACTGATGTTTTCCGTAATTTTGGAATAACTGTACCTTGCCTCTCATGTTTTGTAAGTTCATAGTCATTCTTTAATGGGCCACCAAGTGTTTTTTTCTTAATAGTCAAAATATATTTGTTTCCAAATTTCCAAGAACATGCAGTAGTGTGCAGTTGGTTTTTAAAATCATTACACTTAAGTACTATGGCTTAATTTTTAATTGATGACTTTTAGATATTTTGGAGTTTCTTGACTCTTGGCCAAAAACCAGATCTTTTAGAAAATTGTTTTAAATTGAACATAATTAAGTATATTGGGTAAAGATACGCTACAGATTTTCATCATATTGGTCTTTTGAAAGAGATCAACTTAGGTGAAATAAATGTGTAACACTCTATTTGTTACTACTCTATTGAAAAGGAGACAGATTCTATAGATCTAAGTCAGTGTTTCTCCAGAAGCATGATTTTGTCTGCCAAAAGAAAGCAGCTCTCTTTGGCCAAAATGCAAAATTATATTGCTATAAGAAAAGTTACAGGGAAAGTTTGAAGACACAAATGATTTAATTTTGGCTCAAAAACTGAATTTGCTTAACACTGCTACATAATTTGGGTGAGGTTTCCTTCTGCTTGTTTTTCTTGACCTAGATAAATACATTTTGAGAAACCAAGATCTAATGAATGTCAACCAACATTGATAGCTGTGTGATTACAATAAAAGGTGAAGTCACTTTTTTATTGTTTATTAATAATTAGCTTTTGCAGGTCATGAAATAATTAAGCAGGGAAGTAACATTGCTGCTTTCAGACTGAAAAAAAAAAAAGAAGACACTGAAGCTTAATATCTTAATAACCCAGAGGACCTAAATTTATAAAATATAGAATTAAAATGTTAATCTCTTGGTTTCTTCCCAGAATTACATTTTAATGACTTTATAATACATTCCACATATTCAGACTTACAGGAATTCTTACTCACAAAATGCTTAAAAATAACATCCCTTAATTCTATAAAGTACAGAAGAGTATCTCTCATTTTTAAGGACAAGTTAGTTTATATTGCTTCAGTTTCTTTAAATACCTGTTTCTTTTGAGACCAAAAATTCGCAACAAGGAGACAAGTTCTGATTCTAGCATTTTATTACCTAATCTTGAAGTATTATGATTGGATGGCTTCTTTCAATGTTTAATAATCCTTGGTTAAATTCATGTGTATCTAATGTTAAGTAGTGAAGGTAGTGAATGCACTAATGAGGGGGGAAGGAAAGGCACTTATTTTTACAAGATTAACTAAAATGGAAAAAGGACTTTTTGCGGAAGGATTCATTTAAAAAATGAGATATTTAAAAATCTGGGTTCTTTATCTAGTCATGTGACTGCTTACCTTGTAATTGTTGTATGTTCAATGTATATTAAAAATAACTCATGGGACACCTGGGAACTGCCACTGCAGCAAAGTGAGAGTGTTGAAAGTAGAAATATTTTCTTGAATGAAAATATATTCCAGTTGATCCATATTCAAATAGTTTAAGACTTCAAATTTGTCTTCTTTACATTTGTTTAAGACTATTGTAAATGTTAGTATATCCTTTTGGACTGTGCCTTTGTGTTTGTCATGAGAGTCAACTGAGAAGTCATACAGATAATGTGAAAGTTGTTACCACCACAGCATGAATGTACAATTGTATTAAATTTAATCCAGAGAAGTCTGTTTGGATGTGCTTTATGTTACCAGATTTGTTAAAACTTCAGATTGTTACTTGGGAGGAAGCTATTTCTTTTCACTTTGCTAGTTTAGGTTTCTATATGTTTTCATTAACTCTCCATGTTTCTTCATATGAGCAACTTTCCTTGTAAAAATACATTTCTTTTTCATTTACATTTCACCTTTAAATTGCCCTACAAAAATTTGCTTTATTTCCATTTCTTCTGTTAAATTTCTTGGAGAAAAAAATCACTCAAAAATAAGTTTTTCCTTTTATGTGCTAATCATTTCAAGTATCTGTATTCCTTTTGCTGTCATTAAGAGACTTAGAATATGGTGTGATCTGTTTTTCATTTCATTCATATAATATCTAAGCACCCATCAAGGGCAGGAAAGATCTAGGCAGAGACATAACAGTCCCAAGCATTTGAGTATAGAAATGTATAACAGACCAAGGCTTAAAAGTGAAAATATGAAACAAAAGGTAGTATTCTTAAAAGAACTATTCTGTTAGACTTCATTAAGGGCCTTTAAGAGAAACATGTTTTAGAGGATAAGATATATATGTAGATAGACCCCATCTGTAAATCAGGTTGGTCTTTACAAAGGCAGAGAGGCTAAGCAGCTCTTAGTGGTAGAGACAGGCACTCACTCAGGACGGTCATTTTAGTATCCCATTTAATGGAACTTAAAAAAAAATAGAATACAACTTAGGTGTATTTAAAACACCGCAATAGTCGTGGTCTGTATGCTTGAAACCAGACTTGAAGGTAATAGCAGGGATATGTGGGAGACTGCCAATCTGCATTAGCTCCTCCTCACTATATGTGTTTCTTAGCACTGGAGGAAGGAGTTACAGCAGAACAGCTCCAACTCCATCCAGACCTGCACTCCAGCTTCCTGCGGGGGGGGTTTGTTTTGTTTCTTGTCAACTTCTTAGATGTCTGTTGGCAACTTTAGATAGGTGAGAGAAAAGCCTCCCTTCTAAGGTTCTTCCAAATGTTCACATTGCTGCTGTTGAAAATAATAAGTCTTGTTGACTTTATTTCCCTTTTAAAAAATATTTTATGATTATATATATATAATAATATATGTATTTTATGAGTGACAAGTTTTAATTGCTGAATAAATAGAATTCCAATGTAATTATGTGCCAAGACAAACACTGTTAATGTTCACGAAAAACTAGTATTTGTAGTCTCCACATGTATTTTAAAAAGTTATTTTGAAAGAGTGATACATAGAGGGGCAAAAAAAAGGTCATATAATACACAACTGCAGATTCCAGTCTGCCCACCTAACGTTAGTCTAGCTTCTCAGAGGCAATCACTATCACTGGTTTCTTGTGTATCCCAGCAGAGATAATTCTATGCATATACAAATGTTTACTTACAGAATACCTTTACACAAATGGCAGCATACTATACCCATAGTTTCCAACCCTTTGCTCATTTAATTACCTTGGAAAAATTTCTTGCCAGTACTACAATACCTCTGTCTCATTCTTGTGCTGCATAGTATTCCATTTTTATATTACCCTCTGCTGTCTACTTGTTCATTAATCTTATTTTGTATCCCTTTGTCTTACTCTGTATCTTTTGTCCGTGTGGTACAGTGAGTTGTTTTGCTGACAGAGGAAAAAAATTCCTTTGTCAATCAGGTCAAGCCCCCAAACTGTAGCCAAAGAACAACAAAGAGATGAGCTGCACCTAAGGGAGAAAGCATGGAGAATGACTGATCTGGTCACAACTGTTAATTCCAGTTCTATCACCCAGCTATGTAAGCCTTAGGACAATCACTTAAGCAATCTGGATTGATAAAATGATTTCTAAGATCCCTTTCGGCAATAAAGTTCGAAGATTTGCAACTTCCTGAGAAGTTGCAGCTAACACATACTGTTTAATATTTTATACATTCAGAACATCTCATTTGGTCTCAATTAGGTCAGCAAAAAAGATAAAAATATTTTGCATTTAAAGTAAACACTCTAACATTAAAGATTATGACCAAGGAAATCATTTGAAAACTTCCCAAAGGGTTCACTTATAGTTTTCTAGATACTATAATACTGCAACAAGAGCCATCTCAAATCTGAAAGCTAGCATCAGCCATCAACTGTCCTTGCCCTGAATTATCTCTTTGTATTTTTGCAGCAACCCTAAAAAAATACAAGCTTAAAGATGAGGAAAATAAGCTTCATAAAGATTAACTCACCTAAGATCATCCAGTTTGCTTCCCAAATAAACTGAATTAAAATGAATATTCATGGGAAGATTATAATCTCAGTTTTACTTCCAAGTTTTCTACATGACTCTGGATATATACTTTGCACTGATTCTCTCACTGGGTTTTAAAAAAAGAAACAAAACCAAGGAAGGTTTATTTAAAAGCTGACTATAAGTACTGTTGAAACTAACAGAGTTTTTGTCTTATTTTTCTTCCCAAAGGAAAAGGAATCATTGAAGAATTTCTTTGCTTAATCTAAGAAGTAACCAAAGATGAAAAAAAAAATCTAATAATTAAATCTGGCTAATGTAACAATTCCTTTTCTAACAGACCATCTTTTCACTTTTGTTGACCTGAGTAACCAGTATCTCTTCCTAAAGACACTTAGGAAGTTCAGAATAATTTTTTATATATTTTCCTTTCTTATTTATTATAATCTGCTTTTTATACCTGAAACTAATCCAACTCCAAACATAGGATATGAATGGATAAATTATTTTAACAGAAAATTATTTTCTCCATAATTAAAATGCACCAACTTGATGCACTCAGATTACTTTAGATGAGCACATTTGTGTTCAGCAAATATATCTGGTCTTTCTTCAGTGACATTGCAATAGAATTACTAGGTGCAAAACAAAGAATGGCACAGATCCACACACAATGGCTCATTGTCTTCAATGATGACAACATTATTGGGATCTCTCCTGTATTTGTTCTTTAAAAAATAATTTTTCTAAAAAAGGGACAGGTGGAAAAGCATTTAGTGGGGAAAACTAATTGGGTTGAAGTTTAGTTGTAGGTGTAAATTAAAGCTAAAACAGATTTGAATATTTTCTGACATTGAAAAACTGAAAAAAGAGGCAGGCCTGACTTATGTTGAGTGCCAAGAAAAACCAGGATCAGATTAAACATGTTTTGGATGAATCACAAAACTAATAATCCAAATTACTATCATCTGGTCCAACTGTTCTCAATCCTGATTATACATCAGAACAACCTATGAGGTTTACCAAATATATTGTACCAAACCCCAAACATACTAAATCAAAATCTACAAAGTTGGGGCCTAGACATGTGTTTTAAAAAGCTCAAAACAGGGGGGGGGGGGCGCCTGGGTGGCTCAGTTGGTTAAGCGACTGCCTTCGGCTCAGGTCATGATCCTGGAGTCCCTGGATCGAGCCTGCTTCTCCCTCTGACCCTCCCCACTCTCATGTGCTCTCTCTCTCTCTCATTCTCTCTGTCTCAAATAAATAGATAAAATCTTAAAAAAAAAAAGCTCAAAAGGGGGTGCCTGGGTGGCTCAGTCGGTTAGGTGTCTGACTTCGGCTCAGGTCATGATCCCAGGGTCCTGGGATGGAGCCCCATGTCAGGCTCTCTGCTCAGCGGGGAGCCTGCTTCTCCCTCTGCCTGCCGCTCCCCCTGCTTGTGCTCGCTCTCTCTCCATCAAATAAATGAATAAAATCTTTAAAAATAAAAAGCTCAAAAGATAAATGTAGTAGATATTGTTGGTTGCTCACCATTTTTCCTAATCTGAATCCTGATTTTAAAAAATTATCCATGCTGTCCCCATATATACCCCATGTGCCTCAGAGGAAGAGGATTCTAAACTCCAGGAGACCCAACTGGCCTAAGGGTTATTCCATACCCTCTCCCAGTGACTGCCTCAGGGATGGACAGGTCTAAACTACTTTAAATCAATGAGACCCAAGGATTTGGTGGCAAATCCTGGGAAAGCTTTTGCATATTAAGAGAAGGCCCTTGGAATCCAGCCTGACTCCTCCACTGCATGTAAATGAAGATGCACATGGCTCAAACTGCTATTGGCAATCATCCCATGACCACGAGGGTAGCCAGCCTTAGGATGATGCCAATGCCGCAGTTGAAAATGGGAGAAAAAAACCCTAGAGGCTCTTGGTGACACTACTGAATCACTGGATCAGAAATACTAAAGCCCGTTCTATCAGCAGACTTCATGATAATGATTCAATACATTTTATTAAGTCCTTTTAAGTCGGATTTTTAGTTATTTGCATCTGAAAGCTAGAGTGGTCCCACCCAGTACAGCAGTCTTTCAACCATAACAATCTGTATTAAATAGAAACCATATAAACACCAATTCATATTTATTTAATCTATAAATCTGAGGTTTTCTTTCCTATTTTAACAAAGAATGAATCTTTTAAAAAATAATTTATATGTGGTTATATTTTTCCAGTATTTGAGCTGAATTGTATTTAAAAGTTTATATTCATTGCATTCACTTCATTATTTACTCAAAGTTTTTACTATAGGCTTTATCTTGAATGTGTAAGACCATTCGCCGTGCATAGAAGTCCCTGTATTCCTCTGGTAATTCAGCCAGTGTTTTTAAAGCTCTGTCCAAAATTTGTGCAGCTCTTGATGCTGCTGTAGGATCTTTGTTTCCATAGGTATCTGTTTTATCATAGCATTCAGATGGAAGGTGCTTCCAAAAGATATTCACTCCCACTCCAAACTCTTCAGAAATTACGTTATGGAACCATAAAGCTGGAGAAAGTTTAAGGAAAAAAAAAAGTTAAAAATAAAACCTAGAGTAAAAAAAAACAAACCAAAATGTCAGTGAAATATCACAAATTGCATATAGCCAGTGTAAGAAATTCTTGTAACTAGATCCCTTCGTTAGCACACTCCCAGCTTTTAACAGAATCATTTTAACTTTTATGAATTGCCAACCAATTTAAAGTGTCAGTAACACAACCCTACTTTTAAAACCTTTGGAAATAGCAATTTTCC